ATTCAAGATTATCAGTAATGGGACTTGGAGGTTAAACACTCTTTAATCAGAAGCCCATAGTGTGAGCTGAGGGTAGGCAAGATTTCCAGTTGAGAAGGATTGTGAAGTGTTACCAAAAATGATGTGGAATAATTTGCTTTTTGGGAGGGGTTTTGTGTCTGCTGCCTCCATGTGGAGTTCATGGCAGAGTAAGGAAAATAGAGAGAGATCCCACCCCTCCTGTGGGTTTGTAGCAAGGAAAGTACTGGGTCAGCAAAAGGAAGAGCTGTCTTCATGAATATATTCAATGATAAATACCATTTATTCTTATTTTGCAGCTTTGGAGAAAAACTTGAGGACATAAAATTTAGGTTGTTTCTGATCCTTCAGGAGAGGTGGAAGAAACCAAATACACCATTTGATCCCAGGCTGGAACAGTGAGCCTTTCCATGGTCTGGAATCTTTATTAGTTGGTGAAGCCCTGCACATTTCTGGTAGAGTTTAAAGGAATATTTTGGTGTCTGAGAGATTCTGAAGGATTCAGTAGCAGCACACCCTGCTTTGTTTTTTATTATGGCCATCATAGCAGATGTTACAGGGAAACCTGAAGATATAAACAATGGAGTCAGTGTCTCTAATGTTTGTTGGTGAACATAAAACAATAATAAAAACAATGAAATATTTATAAGCTTTCAGAAGTAATTACAATGAAGAGGTGCAGAGTTTAATTTGGAAGCAATAGCAAAATAAATGAAAAATTAATTTCCCAGACTTACTGGTTCATTTTCAGACTTATTAAAAATAACCTGGCCTCCTTGTAGCAGTGAGATGTGCCAAATTACCTGATTAATGTAAACTTTAAATTCTGTTCTCCACCCATTAAAGTAATTGTACAAGTGGGGAACTTGCCTGTTAACTTGCCTGTTGTTTTTTGAATCAAGGAACACATGAAAAGAGATGTGAGCTTTTACTGCTGATTATAGTGACTTTCATTTGCAGAACTGGCATTTTATGTTCTCCTGCTACAGGAATAGACTTACAGAAGCTGTGTTTTCACTGCAGAGAGGACATACATCAGAGGGCTTTAAATCAGATTAGTTGTACATTGGCTTGCAAACTAAGGTGAGGTAAGAGAATGCAACAAGTATTCCATTAAATTAAACATCATAGTGCTCAGTTATGAATGCCATTCTGAGGTAATTCTCATAATTTTACCCATTAAGACACTAAAATCAATGAACTTCTCTTTTATGGTGGTTGTGAACTAGTTGAGCTGAATTGCAGAATTATTTGGGGATTCTTTCATTCTGCTTACACTGAAACTGCTGGTTTTGATAGCAGCACAATTAGGTGACAATATAAAATCTCTTGGCTCATCTGTCCTTGAACCTTGAAACTCACTGGGAGTGTTGTTTTCTTGCAAGAGAAAACAAAGGGATCGTTGTTGGGTCTGAGCTCTGAGAGGTGGAGTGGGATCCAGATAATGCATGTCCTGCAGGCATGTTCACCCCTGAACTGAAACCACTGGCCTTGATAATTCAGTTGGTTATTTGGCAAATGGATACAATAAAATAAAGCTTCTTTACACCTAAGCCTCATGAGACTCAGTCAGCAGGAGTTTTCTTGCTTTCCACCTCTGCCCAAACCCCCTAAAACCCTTTTTCTGTCCCCTGGCTCCTCGTACCCAAATCCCAGTGGCTTTTGGGTGGCACTTGGAGGAGGTCAGGCTTTCTGCAGGGAGCAGCACAGTTCCCATCCTGTCTCCAGCTGCCTCTTGTTTCAGTGCTTTGGGCGTGCACAAGAGGTGGAAATCTCCCTCAGTTTGAGTCTCAACATACCCATTTTATTTCATTTATTGTATCTTACAGTCCAAGGGGAGGTGCTGGCTGGAGCTGGACTGGCTGCTGAGAGTGGTACCTGTGGAATTCTGGCTGTTCTGGCTTGCTGTTGGTATAACTGCATTTTTTAGCAGAGATTTCAAGCAGAAATGTCTTGAAAGCAGTCTGTGCAAGGATTCCCGAGGTCTCAGAGCACTTGTTACTCACTTTCATGTACCTCCCTGGGTAATGGCCTCTCAGATTTTAGTGACTTGTGCTCATGGCTTTATTTGGCTCAGGATCAGTTCTGTGAGGGGTTCTGTGGGGAATCAACACAGACTTGACTCTGAAACTGCTCATTAGGTATGAAGTGAGTTCTGTCAGAAGAGGGCAAGGGGTGGGCTCTGGCCAAGAGGGAATTCTGACACTAAACAGAGTCAGGAGGTGAAACAGTAAATCAGGCTGGTAGAAAGCAAGGAATGTATCATACAGGATAAAAAAGGAGGCTGGACATGTCTAGAGCATTGACTCTCATCTTGATCCCTTTATCCTCTTCTGAAATTTCTGATGATCTGAAAGTCTTGAAGTGGCGTCCCTGCGCGAAGCCTTGTGCCCCAGCTAAGTGTGGGCTTGTGTACTGGAGAACTTCCTGACATCATGGAACATTTTGGTGCTGTAGAAACTCAAAAACAGTGACTGCCTCTTCCTGCCATGCAGTATTTGTGTGCTAAATAACAGGAAGCAAAGGCCTGACCAACCATCTCTCACAAATACCAACAAGAATTTACTTCTTGCCTTGCAATTTCTCCTTTTCTCTGCATGAAGGTGTCGATGTTTCAGAAATGTTTGATTTTCATTACAAACAAAAACTCGTTCTCCGTCTCTCTAAATTTTCATTTCTTCAAAACCAGAGGCTGTGCTTCAGGCCTGAGGAAGTGGGTGTTTTATTTTCTGATTTGGAAGAAGCTGGCTGTGCCTGTGTTCTGGGGACAGCGATGTGCAGGAGCCAGCAGTGCCTGGCAGGCACTGGGGCTGTGTGGCTGGGCTGGTCACTGAGGCAGCCTGAGCAGCTGCCTGCTTCCACTTCAAACACAAACAAAACACTGCTACAACTGGCAAGGTCTTGCCAGGCACTTGAATTCCATGAAATCAAAGCTTTTGGATGGAGATATGCTCCAACAGAAATTGATGCAGTTTACTATGCAAATAAGCCTGAAGTGCATCGTAGCTAAAAGAGCACTTCTGTTTCAGATTATTTCTGTATTTCAGTATTTTAGGTGAGGATGGGAAGTTTAAGAAGGAATAAACAAAGCTGAAATAGAAAACAGGATTAAATGGCTTGTGTAATGGAAAAAGCAGGTTTGAATGGTGAATGAGCCCTTGAAATAAGAAAGGCTTTTGCAGTTTGGTGGAGATGATCTAAACAGTTGTGTAACTCCTTCAGGAGCTTCAAGCAGGAGGAAAGATGGGAAAGGGTGAGTCATGTTTTAACAATATGGGAAAGAGGGTGAAGGATTTGTTGAAGCCAACAGCTCTGCCTAGGGGGTGTGACTTTTGAAAAAAATCCCTGTTGTTGGTCTCTGCTGCTGCTGCTGTTGATGAGGATATTGAGTGGTGTTTATTGATGGTTTTCTTTCCTCCTGAGCTAGATGGGTGTGGGCACTCATGGCTTTGAGAAGAAGGGCATGACCTGTATCAATCTGTGCTCACCTAGGGTGAAACCCTTCCTGCAGTAGCTGCCTGGCTATGCTCTGGCTGACAGTCTCTTGTTTCTTGAAGAGGATCAGTCATCAGCTGAGCAGGTTTCTTCTGTAGGCTCATCACAAGTGGACATCACTCCAGACTGAAGGCCAGGCTGTGGAACTTGACCACTGCAGGTTACAAGGCATGTGAGGCTTGATCCAGCACCATTTAAAAAACCTCTCAGCTTGATTTTTCCTCTGCTGAGCCCACTTGGTTTGTGTTCATCCAGCTCTGAAAATATTTACAGCTGCAAGTTAGCAAAGACCAATGTTCACCGCTTTGCTACCATCAGTGTTAGCAGTGGATGCTTAATGTTTCCAGTTCTGGCTGTGCAGATATCCTGGATCTCAGAACTGCTCCCTCAGCCTCCTGTGGGTCTGGCTGGAGTGCCTCAAATGGCTGATTCCTCCCCTCTTTGTTCATTCTTCAATAATTGACACAACTACTTGCTCAAACTAACACCTCCTTCAAAATGCCAGTGAAATCAGTGGTGGGACACGGATTAACTCCTTCCAGGATTCCAATGTCAGTGAAATCAGTGGTGGGACACGGATTAACTCTCTCTGGGATTGTAATGCCAGTGAAATCAGTGCTGGGACACAAATTAACTCCTTCCAGGATTCCAATGTCAGTGAAATCAGAGGTGGGACACGGATTAACTCCCTTCAGGATTCTGGCCAGACAGACCTTGTTGAACACAGCAGAAAATGGAGTTTGACTCATTGAATTCATCCACACCTGGCTGGGCACCACTCCTGAAGTTTTGTCCCTGAGATCCTGACTGGAACATCTCTGGACATGTGCAGTGGGCTTCTTAGGGATTCACTTCCCTCTGCAAGATAGAAGGAGCCTCATTTAAATCTACAAGCACTTAAGTGTGAGAAAACAGGACACACATTGCTTTTTTTTTTTTTTTTTTTTTTTTTTTTAAAAAACACCCTTTTTTTTTTTTCTTTAAAAAAGCCTCTACTTCATCTTGCCTTCCCTATTGGAAGAATGAGCAGGACACTGTAGCTTATATGTAAAAGCACTTGGTTACTTTTCTTCTTAAAGGTTCAAGTGTTGCACCAAACCTTTGGTTATGTGTGGTGGTGTTTTTAATAAATTGTCTGCGATAGCAAAAAAGCCCTCCAAAATGTCCTGTTGGGTTGTCCTGATCTCATTTTAATCTCATCCCTACAGCTGTAGGACCAGAATGTTATGCGAAATTTGTGTTACAGTGTGGAACATGGATTTAGATAGTGCAAAGTTAATTTACAAAATAAGGATATGCTTATAAAAAACACCCCTAAACCTGCAGTGAAATTATTTTGAAAGAAGCTGTTTGGAGTTTAGGCCACCTTTGCATTTTAATGGGTAATTACTCTTGGCATCACCACCAGTATATAACCAAAGTCCTCAGCATCCCTGAGGCACAGATGTAAATTTGGATTTAAAGACGATGCAGCTAATATTTTGTACTTTGAGGAAAGCCAATTTCCGTGGATCGGGGAGAAGAGAAATCCGAGGGTTTTGGCTCTGGAAGCAGCAGCAGCAGCAGCGTGCACACAATCGATAGAGGGAAGGTTATTCCTGCTGGCGAGAGCAGCGCTCCGGCCGCGCTCAGCGCTCGCAGCCGGCAGGAGAGGGCGGCAGAGAAGCGGCTCCGGATCCTGCACAGCACCCAATTCTGAACGGGAGCGAGAACACATCGGAGCTCTCGGAAGCCAAATCGCCTTTCAAAACGGCAGCTTCAGCTGCCTTTTTTTTTTTTTTTTTTTTGAAAATGTCAAATTCCTGCGGCAGCCCAGAGGACGCGGGGAAGCAGCGAGGCAGAGATGGCAGGATAAGAAGGGAGGATGTGGATGATTCCCAGCCCGAGGGAAAGAGGCTGAAGCTGGGCAATGAAGGAGGAACCGCTGGAAAGGACAGGGAAGCAGCAGCAGAAGATGCAGTAATGCCTTGCTCAGGCAGAGAAGAGCCCGTGCCCGAAGGAAGAGGTGAAGGCAAAAGTGTAAGTGAGCATCTTCAGTGGCTCAGGGAAAGGGGGAAGGGCCGGGAGGTTACCTTTGAAATTATTTGTCATCCTGAAGTTGGTAATTGGGCATGAAGAAGAGCAGGATGAAGGAAATCGAGTGTCCCATCTCACTGAGATCATAACCATAGTCCTCTTTAATTCTGATCTTGCCTGCATGCTTTTTAGTGCAGGAGTGTGTGTTTTTATCTGGCTCTTACTGTCAGCTGCTTGCAAGATGTGTGTATCAGAGGAGTGATTTTTTTTTCATGGGGAGAAGGAATATGAACAGCTGAACTTGCTTTTCAGCTCCCAATATCCATGTAGAAATTGGGCAAGGATGGGTGCTTTGAACTGGACAGTTTGGGTTGTTTATCAGTCTGTCCATTCAGACTTTGAAGTGCATTCATGTCGAGTAGCAGTGTTTTACAGCCGGGGATGGGGGTAGAGCCGCCAGGAGAGGAGGAGAATTGGTGGTTAGAGATCTCATCTGGTGAGATTTTGCCAAAGAAGAGCTGCTGAGCAGTTGCCTGTATAAACATCAGCACTGGCAGATGTTTACACGAGGGTAACTTTGCTGCCTGGTTATTCAACTCAGCTCCTGTGCCTGTCAGCATCTCCCGAGGCTCAGCAGAGAGCTCGGGGCAGAGGGGGAGAAGGTTTGGATCCCCAGCCAGCTGAAGCTTTGCCCCTCCTGGTGCAATTCGGGCCAGGTACTTTTCCTCCACACATCCTGGCTGCTTCCCTCCGTCAGAAATACAGGGGAAGGGTGGTGGGGACAGAGTAAACTGGGGTGGAGGGTGTTTGCTGTGTGAGATGTCATAGGGAGAAAGTGTAGCTGGAGAGCTCACTAAAGAGCTGCTGGAGGTTTCAGTGCACTGATTTTATCCAGAAGTTTTCTGAAATGTGGGCTGTTTTCTCTCCTGGGATTGATATCCTGAATTTAGACATGCTTCTTCAAATGAGGAGCTAAGTAGATGCCCAGTGTTTCAGTAGGATTTACATTTTTAAACCATTTGAAAGATAGTTTATTTGGCTCCTTTTTGGTGGAAGAATCATCTCTAAGTGCAACAGTTTTCATGAGCTACAGAAGTATTGAGAATGTGCATAGAGTGTTGTTTATTTATTCAAGCCGAAATCTTTTATCAAGCCATGTAACTGCAGAGTTACACTTTGCTCTGTGTTTTGGGTTTCCAATGCTGTATGGAGTTAGGGTCTTGCTAACTCTCAGGCAGTGAAGTACCACACTTGTTCTTGCACCACTTCTGACAGAGACTTATTTTCCCCAGAATAAGTGCAAATTACAGGCACATTAATTGCTCAAATGACAACCCTTGCTTTTGGCTGGTTTTGGTTTTTTTTCTCTTCTACCTGAGAGTAAAGGTTTTAAATCCATTCAACTTTGTGATAAATATCTAGAAGTGAACACCACTATGAGTTGGGGTAAAAGTCTTTTTGATGGTACATCTTACTATAATACCTAATTAGGAGTTTTCTGAAAAATAAGCCTTAATTGAATAAATGTACTTTATCTGTTAAGGGATCATGCAGAATATATGACAATGATGCATACCTGAATCACTGGGCTCTGCCCCATCTGTGAAGCTTGGTTTAGCCCCTTACTTAGGTTCTACTACTGCAGCAGAGTTCTGTGCTGGTTAATACCTCTCCTTTTTTTTCTTCTTTTTTTTTGTCCTTTCAAGGACCTGGTATAGCTCCTCCAACTTTACAGTCTGGCTTTTTATCAGGGGATTGTTAAAAATATTCACAAAGCAAATCAGTTAATGAACAAGTATTTCACTGCTTGTCTTTCCCAAAATCAATTCTTAAATAGTTTTTATAATAAAATAATTGTTCTTATAGTAAATCTTAAATTAAACTGAGTTTGATTCAGAACTCATCAAAGCTCAGTGAAGCTTTTCTTTCCCTTCACTTGGAAGATTCTGGCTTGGGATGTTGCACTGCATTTTGTGTAAAGTTCCAGTAATATTTTTGCCTTCTCTTTTAAATCTGTCTGATTTGGAGGCATTGTTAGAAATTAATTAGGTGACATTTGAAATTCTGTTAAAATAAAATTTTTTCTCAAAGCAATAAAACTTGTTCAACAATGGCTGTAAGTGTCTGTCACCTTGTAGAGAGCAAGCTGCTGGAGAAGATGGACTGTGTGCCCTTAGGAAACACTGGAATGACTTCATTTCTGTGCTTAGAAGAATCTTTATTTTATAGGCATAGTGGTATGGGTAATCAATGCATGCATTGGAGGAACATTTCCTAATAGTCCATTATGTCTTCCACTTTAAAGAAGGACATTTAAAAGAAATTATAGGCTTTGACTCATTTTTGGACTCATAATAAAAAATCAGCACAGTGTGTGTGCTATTTCTCTGTTTATTCCACTGCTATTTGCCTCATCCAACATCATTCTTGGGTTCAGAAGGAAGAACTCTGCCTTGATCAGCTGCTCCAGCTCATTATTCCACTTGGATTCTGGAGAATGCAGACACAATGTATATTTTATGCTCCCGAAGTGATGTGGGCATTTCCTTGGCACCCTGAGTTTGCAGCAGGAGCTGCTGCTGGGCACAAGTTGGTTGTGCAGAAGGATCTTTGTGCCCTGGACAGAGCTCCCTTCCCTGCCTTGGCAAAGAGGGGCTGCCCAAGCTGGCAGCAGCAGCTGGAGCGGCTCCTTCCCTTGGTGCTGGTTAATGCAGTGACAGACAGGTGTCTGTAAGGAAGGCAGGAGCCTTCCTTGAAATGGAAAATGTAAACCCCCTCCCTCTGAATTATTGTAATTTTGAAATTAAGGGGCTCTTGGGCAAAGACATGGGAGTAGGAATAACAGCTCTCTATTAGGAATAATTAAAAAAAAAAAAAAACCAAAAAACCAAAACTAGTAATACAAAACAACACTGCCAGAGAACATGCCCTGTCCCCCTGTGTGTCAGGGTGGTGGCACAGCCCCATCCCATGGGGGCTCAGCCCTCCTGCAGTGCCAGCTGTGGTTCTGCTGGAGCAGGGATCCTGCACAAGGCTGCAGTTTTCCTCTGAAGCTCCAGGGCTGCTGGAGATGGGCCTGCTCTCCCTCTGGGAATGCAGGGCAGGAGAAAGCTGCTCCTCTGGGAATGCAGTGGGCAAAGGCTGCTGTGCTGTTCCAGGCTCAGATTGTATCCAGGTAGGAATGCTTGGCTCCTCCCCTGGGCGGAGCATCTCCCCATGGGATGCTGGAATTTGATCAGCCATGCAGGGACACTCATGGCCATGGACAGCAGAGATCTCCTGGAGGGAGGATGGGCTGTGGGAGAGATAAAGAAAACTGCCCCATGAACAAAGAGAACTGCCCAGCTCTGACAGAGGGCAATGGAATACACACCCCCATTTCCAACCTAAGACACAGAGGTGAAACTGGAACTGTTAATTAAAAAAAAATAATTTACTTCTTGCTTTCTCTTTCTATTGCCGTCATTACGGTGAGAAAGCTGCTTGTGGCAGGTGTGGATCACACAGTCCAAGGCCCTGGAATTGTTCCTTCTGTGATGTTTTTTCCTGGCAGAGCATCAGGATGAAGCCTTTGCTTCAAACCTAGGGCCTGCAGTTCTTGTAGTGAGGTTCAACTTGAGAAACCCTTCACTGGGTGCAGATGGTGGGGAATTGGCCTTGGGGAGAGCTGGTGAGTCACTGCTTTTCATCAAGAGTTTGGGTAAAAATCTTTAACCAGCTGCTCTGGAGAATTCCATCCCCAGCTGTGTGCCTGGGGGATGAGCACAGCTGTCAGCTCTGTGATGCCAGAGCATTGATTGTCACCCTACCCCTGACCACACTCTGGATATTGTTAAATCAGGCTAAAGCTGTATTTCCTGAAATGGTAGGAGTATGAAGAATTAAACATGCAAGTGCAGACTTCTTCCTGGGCTGATAGATATGAGATAGACTCATAGTTACTCACGAGTTACTGTGTGAGACTCATAGTTACCCATGAGTAACTGTGTGAGACTCATAGTTACCTAGGAGTAACTCTGTGAGACTCATAGTTACTCATGAGTAACTGTGTGAGACTCATAGTTACCCATGAGTAACTGTGTGAGACTCATAGTTACCTAGGAGTAACTCTGTGAAACTCATAGTTACCCACAAGTGGTCATCAGGAGTGTGGATCCTTGTGATCTGTGCATCATTGTCTTTCAAGAATAGTCCTTTTTTGTCTCTCTTTAACCAACTCTTTTTGCATATGCCTTTGGATTTTGGTGCAGAGATATTTCTGTATCCACAAGGCCATTTTTTATGATCCAAATTTCCCCCCCCCATAAATACTTGTGCCAAGTTTAGAGATGAAGATTAAATTTCCTGGGTTTGGTTTGACTTCTTAGTGTTCCCACAGCTTCTGAAACTGTGTTTTCATCTGTAATGGCACCTGAGCCAAGAGAGAGCTTGAACTTTTACCTTTTAAACAACTTTCAGAATGACTAGAATGCATTTGTGAATTAATGTACTGTTTAATTTTTTTTTTTTTTACTTGCCTTTGTGGGTACTTAGAAAGAAGGAAAGGGTACCTTGAAGAAAAAAATGCAACTTTTTGTTGCTAACATCAGAAGTAACATCTTTATTCAGTTTTGGGACTGTCATGTTGTAAAAGAAAATGTGAGGAAAAGTATCTGAAAAAGTGCTTAGGACTTTTGTAGGAGGGGAAAACTGGTTTTGCTG